TGGTTTTTTCAGTAAACAGTGTTGTTGTTGGGGGCATTTTATGGATTTTTTTTTTAAACCCCAGTTGAAAAGTCTCACAAAATATGCTGCCAGCCATATGAGCTGCTGAAACTGAGAACAGGGCAGATGAGCACAGATATATACTACGCTCACTGTTCACAAATAATTTATATGACACTTCTGGCATCATGCTTCCTGTTAGGCATCTTCCTATAATCCCTCAGATAGCATTAGATTTACATGGGGATTCCTTTGAACTATACTGTATTTAGGCTTTTCTTCATCATCCGTGTTGCTGCTCCATTCCTCTATATGCCAGAGAAGACCTGGATTAGGCAAGGTTTTGAAAACATTGAAGAAGAGAAACAGAGAAAGCAAAACGTGTGAAAGAGCCACTGAGTAAATATAAGGAGAGAGTGCGCAAAAAAGGTGAAGAATCAACAGTTATACTCAGAGTAGAAAGAGAAGACAGTGGCAGAGGTGACAACATGAAAATGGAAAAGCAAGTGATAATTTTCCTCTCTCAAATACCCATCTGCAAATGCTGTTAGCTGAATTCCCACCAAATACATTTCCCAGGAATCCTGTTCACTCAGGAGAAGAGAGCTGTTTTGACTTGACAAGCAGATTGTCTGATAAGAAAATCACACTCAAAAATACTTTGTCCATCATTGCTTTGTGTCCAATTCACGCAAACTCAAGCAGTTTCAGAAAGACAACACCAGAGAAATAGATCTATGTAACCAAATAATGCTTCCAATTCAATTGGTACCGCTTTTAATAAAACATTTTAAAAGGGTGGCATGCTTTACATATGTTCAGGTCATCCTAACTCTGGTGTTTCTTGCATAATTGCATGAAGGAAAATTTGTTATCTGACTAAATAAGGGATTTGATTCTTGGAAAACCCCAGCAGGCTGAGTGATATGGGCAAGAAACAGCAAGAAAAAGGTTGTGTTCCTACATCTGGTAGGTTTATAAGTAGTGTAGAATTGAAGTGTTGAGTCTGTTTTAAGAGAATATTTAGTTGTATGTTTCTTCTAAATAAACTGGTGTCCTCCAATTCAGTTCTGTTGAAGCAAAGTTTCCTTTTAATACTTTCTATTTTCCAAGAGGCATACATAGCTTTTCTAACTTTTTGAACAACTAAGAACTATGAAAGCTGGCTTGTAATCCAGTCTTGTATAATATCTTTACTGCTATGATTTTGCTACCCTGCCTTCAATAGGAATACAGATCTCCACACAGAAGGAATTCATTCTCTTTAATACTTTTATTGCACTGGAATAATATGATGAACATGTATACGGGATGTACATTGAAATGCATTCTCCATAGCATTGTTATGTAATACAATTTACTTTGCTTGTAAGTATCAGAATATTTTTTGTAGCATTTTGGAGGACAGATCAGATGGACCACTGGTGTTCTCAGTTATAGCAGCAACCCCTCTTTCTACAGGTGCTCGTGTCAGCCACTGTTTTAGACCTTTCCTCAGGATTTTATAACTCATTGATTACACTTCAATCCACCAAAGCTGTGACATCTTTGTAGAAAAATTTTCACCTGTCTTTACTTGAATATCTTCCATTTGAGTATCTTTTACCTTCTGGAACGTGAGCAGGGGGAGAGAGGGAAATACCTGCTGTGCCCAGCTTCCCAGTGGCCTTAGTATGTCTACAAGAGAAGACATTTAGTGATGTACCGAGTCAATTCTACAGATGACCTCCGCTCCTGTTAAATTTTGTTAGCTGTTCACCCGTCCATACTCCTTTTGCTTCAGTCCGCCATCTTCTCGGTTACCTGTTATTAATTTTTTTGTAGGAAGCTTTTGGACACTGAGGATGAGCTCTCTGACATCCAGTCGGATTCGGTCCCGCTGGAAGTGCGGGACTGGTTGGCTTCTACGTTCACAAGGGAAATGGGAATAGTGAAGAGGAGACCTGAAGAAAAGCCCAAATTCCGAAGCATTGTGCACGCTGTACAGGCTGGGATTTTTGTAGAAAGGTGCGAGCTTTGTTTTCTTATTATAGCAAGTACTGCATTTAACCGCAGCACCTGTCGTTGAAGATCCCTTAATTGGTGGGATGAAGCTGAAGCAGATCTTTGAGCCAGGATTTAGGTTTCAATTTCTGCAGTCACTGTATTTTTCTATACAGAAATCCCAATGAAACCTCTATAAATTTGTAATGAAATTTCCTGGACTTTGGAAAATTCTGGGAATTAACTTTATAGCTTGGAAACTTCTACACGACAATATATCAAAGACTGCACTAACATGAGAGAGTAATACACCAGCAGAGGAGCTTTTCTCATAAGTTCCTAAAAAGACTTATGTCATCTTTGGGATCAGACCCTTAAATAGCTTAGTATTATTTCACAAACTGTGAAAGATTAATTAAAAGAAGAGAAGTTGTTCCACTACTTTTTAAAGGAATACTATTACTTAATATTTTATTTGTTCTTTTAGGATGTACCGAAGAACTTCGAGCATGGTTGGTTTGGCTTACCCAGCAGAAGTGATAGTAACATTTAAGGTGAAATAAGTTTAATCAATGTGAAATTTGAATGTATTTGTACTTAGGCTTAGTGACTTTTAGAGTGAAATGAATGTATTTTTCTACTGAACGTACCCTAGCCATATTTAGTACTACAGAACTGAGCATACAGAACAGAGAAGTTAATAGTTAAAAATTCACAAATAGCATACAACTCTGTTTATTCTTTCACTCATTAGTTGTGATTTCATTTAGATGTTATTAGAGCAATAGGATCAAATTTGTATAGAAATTTTTATAGAAATGTGAGACATGGTTTTATCAGCTCCCAGTGGTATGGTAATCAGTGTCTCAGACAGCAGAATTTGTTTCCTTTTTAGGAAGGAAAAAGGAGAAGTAGTATTGGGATAGAGCTAACAAAAGAAGCTGCAGCTTATGGAACAAGTACAGTATTTGCTTTGAATTTAAGGCATTTGAATTTAAGGTGATCTTTTATAGTAGTAAAGTTGCTATGGCTCTGTATGCAATTAAAAAATGGTATTTCTTGAGAATGTAGTGCCTCACCTTTTCCTCTGAAAGTCAAACACTGTTATATTATTCTTAAATTGGAATATGGCTATAGTGTTAATGACATTGCATAATAGCCTATTTAAAGGATGGGTATTCACATTAGCTCCATGAGGTTCTATAGACAATTTGTAAGCAGAAAGTTAAATTTGAAGATTAAGGCCTTTGATTCGAAACATACAAAGTTGCACAGGTCATGTTACAAGTATTTTATTCATAACTGGCACAACTATTCTCATCATTAATATTGAAATAGTCATTAATGTGTTATCTACAGTAGGAGTTTGAAAGAGTTGGACAATAAAAAACCACCAACCTCCCCCCTTCCCCCCAAAAAAACCCCAAAATATCTTTTCCAGTGATTAACTGGAAACCTACCTAAACAGATGGAAATTTTATGTTCTTTTTCTTTTCCCCTCATCTACAGGATGTTGATAAATGGTCTTTTGACGTATTTGCCCTAAATGAAGCAAGTGGAGAGCACAGTCTGAAATTTATGATGTATGAGCTGTTTACCCGATATGACCTTTTGAGCCGTTTCAAGGTCAGAAACTAGTCGCAAATAAAAATACATATGCAAAAATAAGTATGTCAAATTTAAAATACAAGAAAGCTAGGATATATTTGAAATGGTATTTTATTGTACAATGCAGTGCAGTGTATGGCAAATTGAACATTGTAATATGCCAATAGTTCTACCAAATGGAACTTCACCCAGAGCATGCAAATTTTTCTGCAACCCAAAAAATGGAAAGCCGTGTACACCCATGTCAAGTCAGTTTGGGGTGGGATGTTGCTAGTGAGCAGCTAAATGCTGTAAGCGTTAGACAGATTATGTATACTATTTACTCAGCAGTAGTGAATCAGTGTCCCAGCTTCATGGAACAAAGATTCCTAATAAGGCAGAAGACTGTGGTTAGTCCTAAGTACTTTTTCATGGTCTAGATCATAGTATGTTGCCCAACACTGTGCAAGTGTTTCAGCTGAACCTTCCTCTCCTAACCAACTTGGGGGATATCTAAAGAGAAGGCTGCTTTTCCGTGGTGTTTGGAGGGTGTTGCAATACAATATGGAGTGCTTATAACCAACTTTGAAAGGCTGAGATAAAAAAGTGGATCAAAGTGCCAAATTCATCATTGTAATAGTACTGAATGAAATCTCTCCACTGCAAAACACCATGCGCCATTTGAAGAGGCTGCCTCACCCTGAAGTTGGTTTGAGTATTTTAATTTTGACTGACACCCAGACTCGGCTTTTCCCATCAAGCCTTTCCCTTCAAGCTCTGGGTGCTTCAAGTCATAACCACAGCAGGCCTACCATTAGGAATGCAGTCAAAAAGTACACAATGTTATTGCCTCGGTGGGCTTAAGCCCATTCTCAGTCCCACTGTTTACCTTGCAGAGCTTTTAAATAAAGAAAAAAATCGTAAGGAAAATGTCATTTCATTATATGGGAAAAAAATGGAACTAGATAGTAGCTGTATTTCATACATTGCCTGGAGGAAGAGAAGGAAGGGAAGGCAGACTATCAGAGTCAAGGAAATCTTGTCTCAGGCAAGGTAAAACTGGTGAAGAAAAAGAGATAATCCTATTGTTAGACTGCTATCTGTCATGCCTTTATTACATGAGCAATCTATGCATTCCTGGTACAGACAGAGAGACAGACATGTCTTGAAAACTAGTTGGTTGATAGCTCTGCAGTCTCTGGTACACTAACCACATGCTGTGCATGGTGTATGTAGAGGGATATAACATCTACAAGAATTGGGTGAAGACTTCCTGATGCATGTAAGATATTAGATCTTTACATTTTAAATTTTACTTCTGTTGTTTGTTAACTAAAGTCTATGGTATATTTATTTGTTATTATATATATTTATTGCATGATTAACTTTGCAGCTGTTGCAGGAAAAAAAATTTACTTGGATTTTTTCTTCCCTCCAGATCCCTGTTCCCAATCTTATTTCATTTGCGGAAGCTCTTGAGGTTGGTTACAGCAAATACAAAAATCCGTATCACAATTTGATCCATGCAGCTGATGTTACTCAAACTGTGCATTACATAATGATTCACACTGGTATCATGGTAAGAAATACTGCAAAGTTCAATTTACTTCTTTTCTCAGCCTCTGCTGTTTTGGATACATGTGTACCTTTGTCTTTTCTTAAGGAAAAAGCTCCCTTGAAAATTGTGCAGAGATAGATTCAAAACTACCATTCAGGCTGTGAACTTTATGTCATTTTAACAGTTCTTCCAGGCTGGAACTCTCCTGATGCAGAGGAAAAAAGAGAAAAAAATCCTCCTTAAATTCTTTTTGCTTTTCATTGCCTGGGCTTGGACATTATATATCATACTAAAAGAGAAACATTTGCAGGAGTGGGCAGGTGAGAATTTTTCGCTTCCACATCACAGCCTGGGAGGTGTGATCAGGCAAGGAAGCTTTAGTATCTGCTGAGGTCCTGGCCATTGAAAGATATACGGAATCAGTGCAGGCTTACACAAATACTCTGCAGCTGCTTTTTCTTTTAGTTTATAAAAAGCAGTCCACGGTTGGACTTGATGATCTTAGAGGTCTTTTCCAACCTTAATGATTCTATGATTCTATGATTTAGGACTGCTCTTGCATACTGTATGTGCCTATAGTAGGCAGGAGATTGCATTTGCCTTGCACTATTGCAATATCCCAATACTTTTTAGTATTTGCTTTGGGAACTGAAGTGAGTCTGTGCAAGCATTTTTACTTTAAACACTTACCTTTGATTTAATACCAGCAGTGGCAGTCTCCTCACTATCAGTTTGCTAGACAAAAGTAAATACTGACTGAAAGAAAATGGACATTTTGTCAATGGCCTTTTGATGATTTGTCTTCACTATGAATGCACTTCTTTCAAAAAAAAAAGAAAAAAAAGGTGGGAAGTGATAGCGTCTGATTTCTGGTTTTAAGGCTGACTCTAAATGTTTGTGCTCCAGTATGTACATAATAAATGACACTCGTTGACTTATGTTAAGCCTTTTCTCACTGGAAGCTTTGCCTTTGGCTTCAGGGGAGGAAAGAACAAGTACCTAGGCATTGCAGGGTTTAATTCTACTGTTTGAAAGAAGTGTTTTGCTTCTAAGCATCGAGTTTTTAAAGCTACATTTTAACACAAGTACTACTTGCAGAGTGAAGCCTGGAGTCTTCAGCAGCCAAGATTCCTTTCTCAGTGAGACGTTTTCTTGAGAAAGGACTTCCATACTAGACTGAAGAATAGAGTAGACAGCTCTTGCCAAGATCACTCCAAGCCAAAGTTGTTGTATAAGATGTTCACCTATCAAAACAATATTTGAATAAAAGAAAAAGCTTGCAGACATTAGATCATGGTTCATTTCCTACCCTTGTCTTCTACTGTAAGATCAACTGCAAGCATTAAGTGATGTGAGACATGTCATTTTGCAGGTATACATCTGGATCAGCAACTTAACAGGGAGGAAAATCCTTCTGTTGTATTATACATTATAAACATGCCTTTGGCCCGTTGTAACTGTGCCCCTCCACCCTTCAAAAAAGACAGTAGCATCCATATTTTCTTTGTGATGCCAGGACAAGGTTCCAACTTCCAGAGCTATCCTAGTCAATTTTGGGTGTTTAGCCATTGATTAAACAACTTTGCAATACACTTCAGGTATCTCTGAACACTGAATGAAGGAACCTGTTTCGTATTTGAATGTCTGTTATTCCACCGGGTGCACACGAGAATGAGAAAGGCCTCTCCAGCTCAAGTTTTATAATGTTAGCATTTTAACTTTGTAACTGCACTTTGATGTGATTTGGACAACTATTTTCAGAAAAGCTTAGACTTTATTTCTGTTACTTTGCTGTAAAACCTCACTAATGTTGCAATGCTACTACAAAATATTCCTATAAAATTAGGCCAGGTTTTAAATATTCACATTTGAATTGCTGAATTACGGTATTGGAAAGTTCTTGGAAAGATGTCCAACTAGGACAACACTTAGTCAAGAGTGCCTTCAAACAGATGTAGCTTGCCAGGCAGAAGGAACGTTTATAGAAATCAGTGTTTGAAAGAAGGCCTAGTGATTCTGCAGCTTGCAAAGTATTTCTGTCCCAAATGTCATTTGCAGTTTGAGAATGCATCAGTATCATGCAAATGTTCTATTTGACTTGTTGGTTTTTTTTTTCCTGTTGCCTGGTTAACCCTACAGAACGTTACTCAATAACAATTTGAAGTTTGCTTCTCAAGCGAATAGTTTTCAGAATATGTCCATTGTAATGCTTCTTTTAACCCTGCTGTATCTTCTAACAAATACCTGGATTGCAGTGAATTTGATGCAATTCTATATCAAATTCCTGTGTGTTTCTTGCAGATTGGCATGCGATTTGAAGTTCTTGTGCTTTCATTGTATCTTAAGGAACTGATACTGACTCCCAAATCTTGTAAAGAAATGCTGTCTTCCTTGTTCACTTCCGAAAGACATACTGAAGCGAATGTTTCAAAAAGCTGGGTTTTAGAAAATCCTTTTCATGATTGTTGAAGTCATACATTTTGTATCTTTTATAGGCACCTGGAAAACAGCCATATTTCAGCATTTGCCAAAAAATTTGACCGCTCAGAGTTTATGCTTCTCCACAAGCATTTAGAGAGATTCCACTGAAGAATAACACATATTCAGAGTCACATTTAAAGAAATAAGATGATCACTGTATTTTCCAAAAGTTACTGTCTATCTTAAGAAACAAGATCCAGCCACCTCAGATCAATGTGTTAGAAAGTTAGATATCACAGATGGCACACAATCTATTAACCTTCCCAAGAGATTAAATCCCAGATGATACGACTGAAATATATAACTTAAGCTTGCATTTGTGAAGCGTTCATCTTTATAAAGATTTAAGAATCCAAGTCCCAGGGAATACATCTCGTAAAGAACTTTTGAGTCATCGATCATCTTCCCACCATCCCTTTTCTCCTCCCACGTACCTGTATTGCTCAAACTAAAGGAAAAAATGTCTTTACTGTCAATAAGTGCATTGTGAGACTCCCTTTCTTACTCATTTTTTAATCCATCATTGTTTAAGAAAATAGTTTGAACCAGAGCTCATGAAAAGTTGAAATGTGTCTGTTTACTTATAAGCAATTTATAATACTGGAAAACATCTCTCAATAGAAGAGATTTTTTCCAATAGGTGTTACACCTGCATGGCATAGTATCTTCCAGGAGGGAAGCAGGTTCCAGCTTTTTGCAGTCTTGCAGACCTCCAGATACCTGCTTTTCCCTCTCCCTTTGAGAAAAACACTTGTTAACTGTCTCTCTAAGGGCTTTCTCCTGCTTCCTTAGAAATCCTTTAGATAGTAGTTCTTTGATTCTCTGCTTTGAGTACTGATCTGAATTTTGACTGTACAGCTACAGTATCTAGAATACTTGCTCTCATATAGTCCCATATGAAGTTTCCGTGTAGCCCAGAGACATTGTTTGTAAGGAATGCTCTTCTACTTATAAATGCATTGTCTAGCAACTATTTTGGTTACTAAAAAAGCTGATCTTTGAAAAGACATCGTAAAGAAAAAGTTTATGTTTAGTTTTAGTTACTAATAATTTCTGGGTTTCTCTTCTATTTGGTATGTTGAAAACATTGTGAAAGCCAGAACTGGTCATGGCCTGGTTTCTTGTGACACACAATACGATGAAGGTCATAGTTTCCATTTTTAGAACAGCTTACAGTACATTCTCATTCCTCTGTTGTGACCTTTTTTAATCTATACTGCTTCACCAACAGCCAGTACTTGTTGTTCCTCAGCAGTCTTATTTTGTCGCTGCATGACCTATTTCTTTATTCTCGCATTACTTACGAATCTTGACTGTTTCCTTTCTTCTTCTTTGAAAGAAGTACTACCATTGGCAGCTTATGCTGCATCTGGCAGGTTATACGTCTTATATCCATTCATACACATGTATGTGCATATATGGGTGCATAAGGATGAGATCATTCTTCGATCCTTTAGTACCGAAGCTTGCTTCTACCCTAAAAAAATCTGAAATATGTGTGGAAATGCTTGACTGGCATTTGACTTAATCAGTCCTATGACTGCGGGGGTTAACGATCATATGATTTTTCTGCCCCCATTTTTAGATGGAGTAAATTATCATTCAAGAAATAGAACTTGAAAGATAAAATAACAGAGGTTATTTTACAAACCGAGCGGTATGGAATGGCCTCAGTTAGCAAGAGGTATAAAAGTGCACAAAACTCTAGGGTCTGCATTATTTTGTATACATGACCTGTATTACCTTTTGTTCTGTGTAACTGTATGCTAGCCTTACGCACCCTTTTTTTGCATTAGTACAAAGTACGGTAAAAGTTAGAACAGAAAAATCGCCCATGGGCCTAATTTTAGTGCTATGTACACTGGTAAAATATAGTCAATGCTGGTGTTGTACCTAGAATTTATTATGAACTGTATATATTGTTCACTAAAAGACAAATTATAACCTTAACTTCATATCAAGTTTTTAGATGAATATACCATAATTTGGCAAGTGCCATGTATGGGCTAGCAGATTAGATACTTCCTACTCAAAACAGCTACAAAATATACCATGTAATTATCTTAGTAATTTCTTATATTTTTGGCTGCCAATATTTACTTTGCTTGTGACCATAAGGACATTAACTTGGTCTTAGAGAAATCATAATAAGTACAACGAGTTATTTTACTGTATAATACTGAAGTGTTATGGATATATAGTTACCTGGAATCAGACAAGAATAAAGTTTACTGAAGTTGAAGGTAATGCAAAACATTTCCAGTAGCGTAGTGTTTAACCTGAATTAGGCTATTATAGAAAATATGACTAAGATTTGTTTTTCATTTACCAGCACTGGCTCACAGAACTGGAAATCTTAGCAATGATCTTTGCAGCTGCTGTCCATGATTATGAACATACCGGGACCACGAACAATTTTCATATTCAGACAAGGTAAGCGAAGTGGTCTCTTAAGTGTCATATCTGGAGTTTGCTGTTCATTGGTCTGAACTGTTTCATAGCTCTTACTGATACAGCCAGGAAGTAGCCAGGTCATTCCTGATTTTACAAATTGCTTCTTTGACCTCTGTACAGTTAATGGGACCGCTCACATGAACAAAGACGGTGTGGAAAAATAAGGAGTTAGCTCCATAGTGTTTGAAATCATTATATTTTGGAGCTGATATGTCAAGAGAGATTTCAAAAAGATTCAGAACACGGACTTGAAAACCCCTCACCCCTCTATTTGCTCGCTTAAATTCTGATACTTTCGACTCAAAAATTTCTTCCACAGTGTCCCCGGAAAAATACCACTTTCAGCATTGTGTCTGCACTTACTTCAGGTGCTACATTTTGTTTCAATTTCTGTATTAAACTTACAGGGTCCTAGTATAGAGTGAGAAACCTTCAAGTACAGCTTTAGAAATACCTACCACGAGTCCTCTCCTAGCATGTTTTGACAGCATCTGCGGTAGTTACGAAAAAGAAACGCAGACAGAAATCCAGTTTGAAAGTCAGGCTAACTGTATTCTCATGCAGGCGCAGGGTGTCACCCTAGCCTCTGGTCCAGAACAACAGCATATACTTCTCTCCTTTAAAATATTTTCAGCTTATCAAAGGAAAATCACTGACCAATCCATTACTGGGTGATAAATGGTACACCTGATACTTAGCCTAGTACAAAGCATCTTACTGTTCTCTCACACTAGGCTATACTTTGGTTTTAGTATCCTCATTTGAGGAGTCCGCTTCACCTGCTCTTGAAAAAAAAATTTCAGCAAAGTACCGCCATATTCTAACAAAACAGCTCTGTGCTGGAAATATTACTACTTTGAACAGAAGCATCCTTGCACTTACCTATTCGGATAAAGTGCCCAATGGTTAAATTTAAATTAAATCTGTAACATACTTGTGCCCCGAGATGTGCCCTTCAATAATGAACAAATTCTAGATCTGCAGCTGAAATAAAGACATAATTCTTTTCTCCTTCAGCATAGTCTGGCTAAAAATAAACTTCAGTTTGTTGTTCCAAGTTTATATTACTTTTCTATTTTTGTCCTTAATATTTTGCTCTGAAGTACTACAAAAGTGGAAAAAGAATTAAGCTGTTAGCCTTTAAATTTTACTTGGGCATACTTGCAAACAGGTATTTGTTTTGTGATGGAGCTCATTCTTCCCTCCTAGTGGAACTTGGCCCTGATGTGGCATCCCAGGGCCATGATTCCAGGCTTCTTTTGCCTGAGAAAAGCTGATGAAATGGCTATCACAGTCATAGCAAATCTTAGCACTGTTTAAAACTAGCCATAAGTAGCTATGTGGGTCAAAGTGTGCTTCATAAACATATGTGATGGCAAATCACAGATTTTCCCATTATTTTAGTAGGATTATGGATGTAAATACATTCATTATTTAGGTAGGTTATGGTTTGTTCCCTCTAAATTACGTTTCAAATCCTATTTTAATTTTTTAGATTCCTTGGTACCATACCATACACGTGGGTGGTTACACTGAATATATGCTATTGCCCAACAGAACAAGAGGTTGAATTTACCTTATTAATATCATAGTAAGCTGTGCTGCTAAATCATCACTACTTTCTTCTAATACAGACTTTTCAGTGGACCAAATTGAAATACTCAGGAATAGTTTTATCAGAACAGAAAGGTAGCAGAGAGGGGAGACCCCAGGTTGCTTAGCAAGTCAGATCAGGTCTTAGGGAAACAAATTCCCCAAGAATTAATGAAGGTTGAAGCTAGGTATGATAAATCCATACCACATCAAAATTTGTGAAAATCTATATGTAATTTTGGTGTTGTAGGTTAGTCTTTAATTAAGAGGGAAAAGATACTGTCGAGGGTGCTAACATTATGGTAAGGGTCTGGCTTTAGGAGGCACTTGAATGCAATCAAATTTCAGCTTAGTGTCTCTTCTATTCCTTTGTCATGAGGCTCAAGGTCTGGCTGTTTTTCTGACAAAAGATGGCATCCATTTAAAACACATGAAATTGAAGTTTTTAAATATTTTATTATTTACACCTCCTTCTGATTCTGAGTGACGTGAGCCAAAGCACATCTCTCTCAGAACAGGGGTAGTAACTTCTTAATACCCATGCTATGTGTGGAGCTCCCTCTGTTGGTGAATGCGTTGCATTTTAAGTGGTTGTATCACCAAAGAGTACTCTTGAGTAGCCTAATTAGAGCATTTCTGTCGCTCAACGATCCTATCTACAGTCAAGAAGCTCAAAGATCTCCTCACAAATTTTTGTCACAGTTATATCATATAAATAAAACATTACACATTTAAAAATATGACTTTCCCACAAACAGTATATACAATGGTATAATGATAATTTTTTATGCATTTAGGATGGAAACTTTGTCAGTATTTGATACAATAGGAACAAATAAACATATATATATGTTGATATGTATATAGTCAATAGTTCTCATAAAGAGTACACAGTTCTACTTTCCCTAATGCCATCATTGGGATGCTATTGCAAATTCTGCGGGTTTTTTTTTTGACATTAGGTCAGATGTTGCAATATTGTACAATGATCGTTCTGTTCTTGAAAATCACCATGTCAGTGCTGCTTATAGACTCATGCAAGAAGAAGAGATGAACATTCTGGCAAATTTAACCAAAGACGACTGGAGGTAAGGCCTACTGTGACATTCAAACTTAATTCCGGTACTTAAAAATAGTAAAAACCACCAGGCCTTCCCTGTGGAGTCTATTTTAAGAGTTCAAATTACAGGAAGAAACTTTGGCACTGGAAGGCATAATGGATATTTAGAGCTTAGGGAAGGCTGCTGTGGGGTGCTTCTCCAAAAGAAGTACTGTTTGGGAGACTCCATATAATTTTCGAAGTGAGGTTGTGCATCTGTGAGGCACAGTGTTGGACTGTGTGGACAGTGTCTCAGGTGAGATAGTTCTTCAGGAAAACCACAGTGCTACCCCTCTTGGGCTAGGTTACCTTTGTCTAACAGTGGGTTAAAACCTCGGTGCAGAGTCACACTCTGCTGCCAGCTTGACCACTACTGCCTCTGGGATTTCTGCTGCGTCACATAGCACAGCATAGTCACATCTTGGTTAAGCATTAAAAATGAATTATCTGGAGAATCCAAAAATAACAAAGACCCAAAAGCACTAAAAAAATCTCTTTTTTTTCATCCTCCTTCTTCTTAATTTTAGTGTAATTCCTGAAGAAAATTTGACCAGCTGCAAGAATCAGGATCATAATTGATATGTCACAAATACTAAGACCTAAGACCAAAATGAACAAGTGTTAGAGATAAGACTTTCTCCATTATTAGAGAGGATGTTATCTTTGTATATCTTTGATCGCTACATATAGCACTTAAAGTATGAGTCTTCTGTGTGTTTGTGTAAACATAGCTATTATTCAGAGATCCTAAAAATAGCTTTTAAATAGGTGGACTGTGAAGTAAGAGAGAGATGTTCTGCTTCCAGGAGAGTCTCCCACTGTGAATGATGCCTCCATGAATAACAAAGCTATACTCTGCTTTATTTATATTTTCACAAAACTATACATTTATGAAGGAATATGTGAATGTCAGATCAAATTTTGGTGTCATGTATACTTACAGATAAAGGACTGTTTTATATGGTAGATTTACATGATTTTACTTATCTACATGATCAGAACACCCCTAAATAAAGCATTTATTGAATGTAAGTCTGCTGACCCTTTTGGTTTTCGATTCATTATTTTTTCTGTAGCTACTCCAAAACACTTAATATTAAAGTGTTATTAATTTTTTGTTTAATACAAAGTGAGAGAGGAAGCATACACTTTTTCGTTCTCATAAATGATTTCTTCTCAGAGGATACTCATTTAGATTTAGTTATCATAAAGTTTGTGTTGTAATTTTAGTTCTGGAGAAAGATCTCTGGAAGTAAATTGTAAACTTCAGCAATAATTGTCATACATACCTAGATTTTCATTGCCAACATGAGTCTGCCTTGCTCTGCTTGGAAATATTTTGGACCTGATAGTTTGGGACTGATAGGTCTCTGTGACCCTATTTTTGCTTGTCCTAGCTGTTGAGTATGGAGAAAGTGAGTGTGCTAGTAGACAGCCATCAGAGGCTGGTATTCTGTCTTTTAAAACCATCACTGTAGAGAGGTAATGATTTTCAAATCTTCGGACTTGTTGCCTTGAGTATGTTTTTTTGAAGTGGTGGTGTTTCATATTGTGTCCTACCAATGAATGCTTCCATGTAGAAAGGGGCAGATCTTCTTCAGTTGAATTTCGGTTTGGGATTGGACCAAGGATGGCTTAAAGACACTTATGTGCTTCCCCAGTCCTGGCTCCTTCATCACTGGAGACCACCATAAATGAGTACAGTTTGGGAATCCCTGCAGCAACATACAGTTGCTCCAGCTGACAGAAATCTAGCTGCCAGCTAGTACAGTGCATCCCAGTTGTTCCCTTTTGTTATATCACTGGGGAAAAGAGTGATAGGATGGAAACTCCTGTGAAAGAAAATATTTCCAATGGGAAGAGGAGCCTATGGTTTCCAAGTGTGTGATGTTTATACATACTGCTCCGGTGGACTGCAACAGAATAAAGGGAGGAATGTGATAGATTGTCTTCACGTTTCTGAAGCACACTCTTCTCTGCATAGATTGCTCGGTCTGGTGTTCCCACAGTTCTTTTTCCTTATATTATGGACACTTCGCTCTAACTTCTGTTGCATTTAATTTCTCTGTGGTTTTTGAACCTGTGATAAACTACCACATTCCTTTGGAAGCTGCTCAGTCACAGACTAGGTGTGTTTGCTCTTGCTTTTCAATCTCCTCTCACTGTAACCCAGTTTGGATTTCCTGAAGGATTTTATTTCAGTTTTGCAAATTTTGTTTGTATACAGTGGCTGCGCAGATCCAGTCCACTATCATGTGCAGACAGTTTGAAGTTGGTGGGATTTGGCAACCAGAGAAAGTAGAATTTATGGTCTTGTTGGGGCTATTCAGTACAACTTAGGAGAGATGTATGAACTGACTAATAAGCTCAAGCAACTAAACGAGGACACTCAGTTCCATGTCTTGTCACTTAGCTAGGCAATTACAGTCTCTACTTTCAAGCAAACTGGTAACTTCCAAAGTGCCAGTCTGAGAACCTTCACAACCTGTTGAAGTCTGATACTTAATTTAGAGGGTCAGTCATGGAAATGATGGTTTCCTGGTATTCGTTTCTAATATCCAAAAATACCTGTTACCCTGGCATCAGATACAGTTGTTCATTGGTGCAATGACAGATCTGTTAGCCACTTAAAAGAAGCCCTTCAATTTTCTAATTATTACTAGAGTAATAGAACTTCTTGGTTCTATACTGAAATTCATGCTGTTAGACTAACAGTTTTGAAGTTTGCACTGAATCAAATTGGCAGCAAATTGAAATGATAATTTGTTCAACTTTTTAATGTACTTCTTGGCACTGATTAATTTCTTGACTACTGTCAGATCTGTTTTCTTGAGTTGCAGCGATTTCATTTTTTTAAAACTTAATACCCCTGCCTATTTAAACTGTGGTTCTGCTAATTATTTCAGCAAGATGAAGCAAAATGACTGAGAATGACTTTATAGTATTACATTTTCTTTTCTACACGTTAACGTTAGGAAGATAAATGCACTAATAAACTGTCAGCTTCAATTAAGTTTAAAACATAGGGTTTGGGTCTGAGCAGGGAAACACTGCCAGCATTCTGATGAGGATGTCCTTTGTGGATAACGCGTGTGACATTCATAGTCTTTTCTCACCCTTTTCTCAACTCTGAAAATATATTCCAGTCTTCCATATTGTCTTGTTTCTCTCACTTAGCACCCCTAAATAACTAAAGAGGAATCCCTTTTTGTCCCCCTTTCTCCTTTGATTTACCAGGCTTCTGATGTTCTAACACCCCATGTGTTACATCAACAATTATGGGTGGTCAAGTGGTATTAATGTCTCAAACCATTCCAGTCATAAAGCATATGTTGATATATTGCCTGATTATATAAAAAAGACTAAAAAACAGTATGCATTATATACAATGCGTAATGAACAGCTTTTCTTGGGAGTCTTCTGTCTGAGGCAAGCAGGATTGCTGTAACTTGCAAGATGAACCTTATGTTTTCAGTTCCCAACTTGCTTTTGCTCATTGTAGCCTGTTCCTCAGGCTCATTAGTTTCCCACTGACTAAATGTCTTTGTCATGGACAAATCCAGATAAAGCTGGTTTCTGTTTATTGGTTAACTACTTTTCTGAGAAATTCACGTGCCACTCCTTGTCTCTTGTTTATTACAGCATTATTCATGTCATTTTTTCACATCATCTTGCATCTATTTTTTTACAGTATCCTATCCATAGGACATACGGATATAGGAGGATTAAGAAAGGATGACAGCACAGGACATGACAGTTTACTTCAGAAAAGTGGAGATTGTATACTCAAAACCAGTAATCTTCCAATTGTAGGCCCCAAAATAACGCTATGTGCTGTATGTGAATACTGTTACCACTTCCTGTCATAGAACTAAAGACAGCAACACCTACGTATCTTTTTGCCGTGCTAGCATGATCAGTGCTAACTGTATTACCCCGATGCCTGTAGCTGTGGACTGCTTAATGAAGTACGCCGAGATTTCTGTCCAGGAGTTACCTATGAGACCAGCTGAGGTCTCCTTCAGTATGGAAGTTGAGAGGGTCTTTTTTCCCTGGGAAGTGGTTTGGGAATGGTTTAAGTCCAAGGGTAATCTTCTGTGCAATGGTAGTAGACTGAGCATTCACTGCTCTCATAAAGCTTTATTTAACGTTTCCCCGTCACTTCTGAATTTTCCATCTCTCTATTGATGATGGACGGGGGCACAGGCAGGAAACAACCATAGGCTGTAGGTGGGGAGCCTCTCCTTTGCTGTTAAGCAGCTTTTTAGTGGCCTGAAATCTTTGGAAGTGTGTGAGGAGGACCGTGCTACATTGTTTGATCCTTATTCAGGTGATGGAGTAAGAATTAGGGTTTGTCTCCTGCCATCACAGTGTGAATCTGCTGGAAGCAGCGCTTTGCTTTTCTGTGTGTCTTGTGTAGTAGGGGTGGGCTTATTTCTGATTACTCTTAAAAGTTCAGACAAAGAAAGTTCCTAGGAAAATCTCCCATAGAAAGGGGAAGTGATAATTATTTCAGTCTTACAAACAACAGGGTTTAACAATGCAGAGCCCTCAGTTTTCATGCAGTGTTAGCTGTTCTTTTTTTAATTTTTTTTTTAATGGGTTTGGCTGTGTTTGAAGGGTACAGTTTCAAAGCAATGTGACGGAGGAACAGTTGGGATGCAAATTAATTAGTGTCTTATCATGAGGTCGGATAACGTAAGGCATTTTCTAAACACAAGTTGCTATGGCTGCATATTACTGAGTAGAAGTGAGAGGATTGAGTCTTTACCCAGTTACATCAAAGCAAATCAAGAATAAATACACAAAAATCAATGAGGAGTATCAGCTTAAATATGCAATTAATTTGGCTCAAAAGCAGTCTTGATAGTTTTTATAACAAACTATTCTAACAGCCCTAAAGAAAACTGCAATTTACCTCTTTAAAACATAGCCCTTTGAAAAAAATGCATTGTTAAGTAAATCAAAGATATGAATACAATATGAAAGATCATTGAGAATGACTAAAGTAGGATTCTACTGTTGTAATTGATACTTGGACATCCTTAAGAATGGGAGTGTGCCCATGAAGATATGTGCTACATAATCAAAGATTTAATATGGTGACTTGTCCCCAATAAGCTTAGCATGTAAGCAACACTCTTGCACATAAATCCTCCTAGGTCATTTAAAAAGCATGTAAATAAAGACCCAGTAGACTCCTACATGTTCTATATACAATCCTTCTACATCGAAGAAGCAGAATTTTCCAAATCAGTAATTATTGTTGACAGAATTAATGTACTTTCATATACAATAAGAATTAATACACTTTCTTACATGATTCATGTTTTACTATTTTCATATTAATTTAATAGAAAGCTGATGGACAAGCCAGCATCTCTGACCATAATACCAAGATATAGATAAACTATAAATCCTGAACTTGTTCTGATTCATGAAATAGGCATTAAGGTATTTTTGAGATGAAGGGTAGTTTGTCATAATGTTCATATATTGGTATAATGTTGATAGTGTTTCATATGTAATGCCTCTTGCTCTTCTGAGTGTTTCCACAGCCTTCTTCCTAGGTTTAGTGTTATGCCTCCTCTGCACTAATATGAGAGCAGTAATAAAACCCACAAATATAGCCTCTTGTGTGGTGGTAAGCCCGGAGACCAACTGTTTTTTTTGAATACCTTACTGATGGAAAAATAAGAAAAGACATATAATGGGTGACAGAACTGCATGTAATTTTAGTTTATGCACTAGAAAAGAGGAGTTACAAAACAGTGTGACTCTGAAATAATGGTTGCAGACTGCATTTTCTGGAGTACATTGCTTTCGCAGAATCCCTTTAGGATACAACGTTCAAGTTGTTAATAATTTATTTAAATGCTTTTTAAAACATAATAAAACCCGTGATGTTGTTTAGAAAGTTATAAATTAACAAGTACTGCTTAAACAAATGTACCATACATAGAATAAATGAATTGTAATCAGTCATTTTGCTTTTAATTATTCTTAGGGAGTTGCGTAGCTTGGTCATTGAGATGGTCTTGTCTACAGATATGTCGGGTCATTTTCAACAAATTAAAACAATGCGACATACTCTACAGCAGACAGAGGGGTAGGTTATTTTCCATTCTGTTCATTATCTATAGTCTTTCAATGAGTTCATGTACAAGAAAAGAATTCAAATAGTTGCTTTTGTTTTGAGATAATTGGAGCATGTCCTTGAATTGACAGGGTAGACAAAGCCAAAGCCATGTCTTTGATTCTACATGCAGCAGACATAAGCCATCCAGCAAAATCCTGGGAACTGCACTACCGGTGGACCATGGCCCTGATGGAAGAATTTTTTCGACAGGTGCCATTTTAAAAATCTTTTAATAAATCTAGTTCAAGAAGCAACGGTTACACAATTAAATCTTTTCCTAAGTCTACCAGCAACGATGCTGTTGGTTGTGATTGACAAGCATAGTCAGTAGTATATATTCTTTACTCTTCATACATACCACTGACATTAATTCAACTTTTATGTGCGTGAATAAGATTAAATTGTTATAGCTCTATATCTATTTCAGCTGATACCAGGATTCTGAGTATTGTAGCATTTTTTTTCTTTCAATAATAATATAACTTGTCAAGCTGTTTTCATTCTGTAGACAGAGATTTATATATGCTTTGAGTTAAAAAGAAGCACCAGGATGAGGGACTTGAAAATAGGAAGAATTCATGTTCAGCAAAGAAGGCAAAAAGTTGTCTCCATTTCACATTTCAGAAAGCCTTCCTATTTCTTTTCCTTGCCGGTGCTTGCCATGCACGTGCCACATAGATCTGAAGGTTTTGCTTTCATAACAGCCTGATCCAAAGCCAGAGGTTAGACGGTATCATCCTGTTAACGCTGTGGCCATATATCCTAAAGCAAAAATGAAGACACACCTTTGTGAAAGTCTTTCCATTTCTGTGAGATACTGAATTCAAAGGGAAAGCCCAGTAGGTGTTGGTGTCACTGCTGCCATTTTTTCACTCACAGCAGGTGATAAAAAAAATTTCTCCAAAGGAGGAGTACTCTCCCTGTAATGAATATTTGTGACCATGCACATTTTTAATGTAACAGTTACTGAAGTACAATTGATAACCAAAATCCAATTTAGGTATTACACAGTTTCTACACAGGTTTTAAAAATGGTTAATACAGATAGCAGAACAGTGTATGTCTTGCTTATCTTGATTGTCATTATTTTGCTATATGCTGACCTTTTCAAATCAGATGGGTCACATTGGAAAAAGGGGTCAGAGAATGAAGAAGTCAGTATGATAAACCGTGAGGTTGTTAGGCCCATCTGCCCTAGAAGGTTCTTGCTCGGTTCCTAGAGGTTCTTTATACGAATTCTCAGTAGGGAGCATCAGGACATCCTTGACTCTGGGCTTTGCACTGGGGAGACAGATTGGAGAGCTGGTGCCTTAATCTAAATAATGAGTGGACTAAGTTTTATGGAAATACTGAGTAGAGTCATGAGTTTGTGTCTGCTTCTGTAAATGGAAATGGTGAGGATTTTGAACTTGAGAGGAAAAAGGAGGAACAGATTACCCTAGATATATATTACTTGAAAAGGTCACAAATGACCAACTGTAAAAGCATTTTAGACACAGAGAGACAGACTAGACAGAGCCCATGGGACAGAGAGGCAATGTGTCCAGTCAACTGGATGTAGCATTAGCAATAAACAGTACCACACTGGTCGTTGAGTGCATAGGATCAGCTAATGTTATTCCTTTATCCTTTCATTAGTAGAAGTAACTGGATCCCAAATGAGCTGCTCAAAGATTTGAGAAGGCATTTAACAACAGAATCAAATCACCATATATGTATTTCTGCCACTCAGCAGTATAAATTGTGGAAGTCTTTTAGGCTGTAGAGGAGTGTGCAAGGAACTGAATCCCTTTTTATACGTACTACTAAGAACAGCGTGTGTGGAGTAGTTCCAACACATTTAAGGTGTGATGAAGTAACTGTACATATATAAATGCACTGAGCAGTGCAGACACAGTAGGTCTCCTGCTTCCTAGATGCACTGGCTTGGTTGTGCATCCTCTGGTTTGTTGATATGAGTGTGTGTAGTGGAAACCTCTGGGATTTCCAAATCTGTGCCAGCCAAGATGAAGTAGTCCAAATGTATACAAAACGCACTAATTCCTCCTTTTCTTTAAAAATAGTAATTCAACTACTTCTACTGCCTTATAGGAAAAAGCAGCAGAGCCTGAAACTGCTGATGCAAAACCAATGCTTTAAAAGGCAGCTTTCAAAGTAGTAAGCACCAGCAAAAAATGAACATTCACCTAGACAAAAAACTTTAACTGCAGCTAACGGTTAAAATATGTGCCAGTGTTAATTTCAGGGAAAAAGCCAAACAGCGCTTTAAGTTTAAAAGCAACAACTACAGAAAGTGTGTTATAATGCCAAGGAAAATCTGAGCTACTTGTTTAAAATAGAAATACACCCACCCATTTCAAAACCTTAAAAATAAAGAAATACGTAGTTCAAGTCACTCAAAGAAGTATCACAACTCCTATAGAATTCTTCTCTTAGTCTGAATGATCCAAAAGCACAAAAAGAGAATTTGTCCAGTGAGTTTTTTGATTTTTTTAATTTTAAATCGCGTGAAATTCTCATGATCAATTTAGATATCAATGCTGTGTCCATTATTACAATTTACAATAGACTTAGACTTATATAACATTTAAGTATTAATTATGTATTATATTAATTGCAAAGTAATTCATAATTAGGGTAAAGAGCTACTTGAAAACATAAAAAAATTCAGACCGATTCTTCGCTAATGTGGAATTTTCTCTTTTTTGACACCTAGTTAAGGGAAGATTACAAAATTAATAATGCTTTAGAAATCCTGTATTCAAAAATGGCTGAAATTGTTAGAACCACCCCAGTTTATATTATATCACAATCTGGCTCCTGCATTTACGTGGAGATACCACTAGCACTGCTCCTAGTGGTAGGTGTTCATGTGTTCTTCTACACTCTAAAGTCAAATGATGAACACTTGGGTATAAAATTTAAAGGCCATAGTAATAAAACTCTCCACTTCCACATGAAACACAATCTGCGAGCTACATCTGTTCCTGTGGCTGAAGTGTTTTTATTGGTATTATAGTTCTAAACTTTTCCCAAATCTAGTTCAATGATATATGATAAAAAAACTAAGGAAGGTTGATACTGCCCCCTTCATCCATCAGCTTCTGATGAGATTTTTGGGAAAATGTTTATGTACTGCTCCCCACTGAATGATCATGAAACAGCACTCTCCATGACTGATGTAATATATAGAGCCATTTTACTTGAAAGACTAAGTTTTCCTCTATCTATAATGTCAGTGTTTCTGGGGGCCAGGTTTGTGTCCAGCAACACAAATTATAGCCTCCTTTGAAAGATGTCTCTTCAGGGTTTTTTTTGCACCACTAGACTTTCTTTTTGAGCTTTTGCAAATCAGTTGGTCTACCATGCTGAAAATGGAGATAGCACCCCTCTGTTAAGACTGTTACGACAAAAAAATTCTTTCAATGTGTTAGCTGTTGAAATATTTTCAGAACTAGGTTTATACAAGTCATCTGAGTAATGAAATTGAGCTTGTGCCTTTTTATGGCTTCAGCAGCAGAGAGACATGCCTGCTAGTGAGAATGAGTTCAAGTCAGCTCCTGCCCTTGACCTGTGTAAATCCGTTGAAGAAATTTTACATGTTGGATAAACCAATGTAATAGAAGGAAACACTTAGCATTTGGCATACTATTACAAACACGTCTAAATATCTCCAGCCCCATTACATCTGGGATCGGCAGGACTAAACTGTGAATACTGAAGGACTTCATATATGTTAAATCTCATTGGCAGATGCCTTGCTCTTGAGGAGAACTTCCTTGCAATAAGTTCCTTTATATAAAAATTGTCAAATGTAAGTTAGAATTTTGACTTTTACTTTTCCTGAAAATTTAAAGATAAATAATGAGGGTTTTTTTGCCTGTGGCTTGTTTTTATTTAGGAGTATAAGTGAACAAAGTAATCTGTTGAATAAATACTAAAAATGTTCAGATTCCTTTGTCTCTCTGTCCTTTATCAAATATGTGCTTATAATATTAAACGTTGTTGTTTGCAGGGAGACAAGGAGGCTGCTTTAGGTCTTCAGTTTTCCCCACTCTGTGACCGGAAGTCTACTTTGGTAGCTCAGTCCCAAATAGGTAATGAGAAGTTGTGTTTTTCTTTTTCTTGTATGTGTAGGAGCATGTAAAATCATGTGGCTGTTTCTTACACCCGTTTTGAATTTTACATGTTCCAAATGCCATCATATAGAAGGTATTTCTTTATCTGTTCACCAAACTCTCATGCTCTTACAGCAGAAGTGCGCTGGTCTCAAAAGAACATGAAGTTATTTCAGCATGTGTGATGCCAAGGAGGGGTAGAAAAGGGATAAGTCCATAAGACATAAGTCCAACTTTTACTGTACACATTTTAGAGTTTGGTGGATCACGTCCTCAGACAGATTGGCTCTTGCTCAAGAACTCACAGGTGTGTCTCTACTACAATCTGAAAGCCTGGGACCATTTTGTACAGTACACATCTCAACTTAAAGCAATTTCATACATCAGATCTCTGGACTACAGTTAAGATTGTCAGTGTGGCAGGGTCAAACTACACAGGGTCAAGCCTCCTTGGGTTCACAAGGACTGCTGCATTCTGTTCCCATCAATGCTAATTGCATTTTGGTCAACAGTGGCCAAACTTCAGCTTCCCATTTTCAGAAGTGCAGGTCTTGGCTCGCTCTATCCCCATTTCCATTAGCAATAATAAGGAAATAAAAATTGGTAAAGATCACTGGGGCTAGTTACAAGGAGATACCCTAGAAGCATACTGAGTAAAGCAGTATGTCCTACCAACAGCTGTATCTTTTATGTGAGTGAACACAGTACTTGGGGAGAGATTCTATAGGTGACAGTGTCTTATCCTTGAACTGAAGCATGTCATCCTGTCTGATCTTGTCACTCAAAATGTCCTTTATTCCATTTCACTGGGACTTGAGAGGCAATGTGCTTGAGCATCGTACCTACTGCAGGAGGGAAGCTGGATCCTAGGGTGAAGCACTGTTGCTCACCTTTGTGCTGTGTTGCATGGTTAGGGTATGAAGACATCTGGAAATCCATGGCTAGCTCATGTTTTAGCATTTTTTTTTTTTTCTGTTAAGTGCTCAGCGGAGAATAATGCTTCATTCTCTCACTGTGTCATTCCATACCTTGATGAGCACTTTAAAATGTAAAAGACATTGTTCAGAGATGACATCTCAGAACTGTGGGATGAATCCTGTCTCCTAAGGATATTACTTGTTCTCTTCACTGATTTGACAGAACACTCCTACACACTGTGAAATAACACTTTACCTCCACAGAATAATAAACAGCAGTTTGAAATATTAACTACTTGGCAAGAAGATCTGAATGGTAAAAGAAACAGTATGACTTCTAGCCCCTTGGCTCAACTGTAGCTTCCCTTCTATTCAATAACTAATATTCATTTCAAATGATAGATGTGTTCTGCAGTGCATAAAATTTACAAAAAAAAGGAATGAAAAGCTATAATTATTAATATCTATTTATATCTGTACAGCTTCAGGTGTTTTTGTCTTTAGCTGTGCTTTTTTCCTCAAGATTATACTAGTGGTATCTAGTATATTGGATCAGGACTACAGTCAGAAAATCAGCCTGATATCAAGTATTTATTTTTAGATTTGAGAGCTGTGAAAGTGTAAAATCTGATTTTCTCTCTTTTTCTTTTTTAGGTTTCATTGATTTCATAGTAGAACCAACATTTTCTCTTCTTACGGACTCAATGGAGAAAATTGTTATGCCTCTTATAGAGGAAGCGTCAAAATCTGAAAGTCCTGCATTTGGGACACCCAGGTATGAATACACTGCTTAGTTATTGAACGAACATAAACTAACATAATAATGTCATTCTCAGAATTATCGCAATTTTAACACTTGGAAAAGTAACAAAAATAGCTGTACAGTATTGCCACCATGTGGTGCTATGTTGTATTTGCAATATGCTATTACTCCATTGACTGTGGACGATCGTGCACATAAAAAGGCAAAAACACAATAACGAGCAGAATACATGCGTGTAAAATATAAAGTAGATTTTCTACAGCATATCTAATGACAATTTTTTTTCCTTTGACTATAATCTTTGCAATAGATTATTGAAGTTCCTAGTTCTCTTATCTTTAGCCATTTTCCGTATAATTTTAATTGACAGTACCAAAAGCCATTCTTTGCTTTCTGACAGACAATGGGCCGTGGAGGTAGTGAAAGTGGTTTCAGGTTTTTTTCTGGTTTTTATTATGCTGTAGGTCACTTTCCTTCTTCACCTTTCTATTTTAGTGTTATTTGATATATACACTTGAGACAAAATTGATTCCACTTACATTCCACTTGAGAGATCTAAATACAGTATAAGTAAGATGCAGGGGGGGGTTGCCCATCAAGCTCTTGATTTTTGCATCGTGATAGAAGTTGTTTATAAAACAAACTAGCTATGACAGACAGTGTTATCTGAGTGACTCCATGCTGAAAGCATCATTCAATAATCAGATGCTGCTTTTACAAATATTGCCTCCGTTACCACATTTTTTTTCATTTTAAACCTGTAATTTGAGCTTTAATTGAGGCTACTAATACGATAACTCTGTAGGGCAATTTTTCATTTGCTGTGCATTAGTTAGATTTTAGTAGCAAAATGATGAACCTAGCTCTTTTCTGATCATGAGTTTACATGTATTTCGGTTACTAGAAATAAGTAGAAGTTACTAGAAGTAGGTATTTATGACAGCATTCTTAGTGTTGAGGGGAACAGTGCTAAACTAAGGCATTATTGATAACAAACTTGTTTACCTACTCACTTCTTCAGAAATTAGTGATTAGCAGCTGCAAATAATTAGTAGCTCCAGGTTTCATTTTCAGTTGATGTTCATGACTGAGTGGTAGATGAACAAAGGCTTATGACCCAGCAAAACTTCCTCATGTGAGGTGGAGGATAAAGGGATTTTTTCTTGGTATGGAATCAAGAGCTACACTTACGAAGAGAGTGGAGAGCCTATAGCATGATACAGAAATGTCTGAGCCAGCAGAGTTGCACAAACACTACTGGCTGGATGCCATGAGTATATGGTGTGACATTCCCTGTGGTGCCTGGAAAACATTAGAATTATAGCCTGTTCTTTCCATTCTATCCCACTGAACATCTCTGGAGCACGTGGAAATTACAGTTAACTCTTCTTGTGCAGTTCTCGCTGATATGTTCACTGCAACTATACTTTCTGATTAATGGAAATCCATTTGTATGCATATTAACATTTGTCTTTGGTACCAATGAGATAAACTATGCAGCATAATTGAGTAAACAAAACCCGGTATGGCATAATTACCTGTACAAGGCCAAAAATAGGTCTGATTTTTTAATCCTAGGAAACGAAGAGAATTCATTCTTTTTTTCCCACCTTTACATGGATCTGCATATTCACATACAAATAATCAATTTGACTTCTACCTTACCTTACATGTAAGGTAGCTACAGTAGCTCTTAAGTGGATTTTAAAGCCACTGTACTAAATCCTGCTTTGACTACACTTGAAGGCATGTACCTTGAAGAGGATTTTCAGCTGAAGCTGAATTTACTTGCCTGTCATATACTTTTGTGTCTTGCTTTTTTCAAATGGGTCAACAAATAACAATCAGATGTCTTTCCTGTGAGCCCCAAAGGTAGCATTCACTGTTCGAAAACATAGCTAAGAAGTTGCTCCAAAATGACTACATAAACATTCTTTCAAGAACTGACTTACAAGTTATGTATTTTCAGCTGTCACATTTTTTTCAAGAATTCCCTGAAAAAGGTCGGTAAGAATCGGTCACAGGTTACAGCTTCATGAGTTGAAGAAATGTTTTATATCTTCATAGAATCATAGAATAGTTTAGACTGGAAGGGACCTTTAAAGGTCATCTAGTCCAACCCCCCTGCCATGGGCAGGGACATCTTCAACTAGATCAGGTTGCTCAGAGCCCTGTCCAACCCGATCTTGAATGGGGATGGGGCATCTACCACCTCTCTGGGCAGCTGTTCAGTGTTTCAGCACCTTCATTGTAAAAAATTTCTTCCTTACATCTAGTCTAAATCTACCCTCTTTTAGTTTAAAACCATTACCCCCTGTCCTGTCGCAACAGGCCCTGCTAAAAAGTTTGTCCCCATCTTTCTTATAAGCCCCCTTTAAGTACTGAAAGACCGCAATAAGGTCTCCCCGAAGCCACCTCTTCTCCAGGCTGAATAACCCCAACTCTCTCAGCCTTTCTTCATAGGAGAGGCGTTCCATCCCTCTGATCATTTTTGTGGCCCTCCTCTGGACCTGCTCCAACAGGTCCATGCCTTAGACACCATCTTAGGCACTCTTTGGTGAAAACTATTATTTCGAGTTAGTGATTGCATGTAGGTCCTAAGGAATTTGATTCAAATTAACTGTTTGTGTATTATTAAAATTGCTTGACTGTGTTAATAATTTAGGGGTTTTTCCCTTCTGTAGCCAAAACAGTTTGGGAACAGTAAGCAATGCTGAAGCACAAAGACGACCCAGTTTTAAAAGTACAAGTGATGGAGGGCCTCACACAGAAAATTCTCTAGCAACTGTAGACCTAACGAGCTTTAAGGACAACTTGATGAAGATCATTCAAGCAAACAAAGAAAGATGGAAAGAATTAGCAGTAGAAGGTATGATATACTAAGGTGGAATGTTTTTATAGGTTACGACCTAAGATCTCCTCTACTTTCGTTTTTTAATTTCCTTCAACCTATAAAAATACATAGTTGTCTTGTATTCATATATTTTATGTCTTAATGTTTGTTTAGATGGTCCTGTTTTGCTCTCCCAGGATGTATAAAGAGATGTAGGTGGTCAGGGGATGAGAGGAAATCTTATGCCTGTACAATAAGGCTCTGTGCTGCTCAGCTTATCTTTAGAGGTCTGGTTTAGAAATGTGCATTCTTGCACATTTAATCATAACTGATACTGACATCTGCTTTAAATGCCAAAATCAACAATTCAAAGTAGTATGTGCTGCCACAATTCTTAAGAAATGTAGAAGTTGTACTTTGCTATTGGAAATGTTACTTGTTCCCCACTGTATGGAACAAAATTCAGTACCGCAGGCTTCTTGGGACTATGCTCTAGGCAATTATTTAAATGACTCAGTGGATCTAAAGATTTGGGCAATCACAGCATGTATTAGACCCAAACAAGGGAAAAAGTGACTCTTCATTTGCCGGTTGATAGTTAATAAAGCCAAACCTGCATCAAGCATCTTAGTTCATAAGCCATACCTGAAAATTGTCTGGGGTTACAGTTATTTGAGTGAAATGATTTGTGATAATTGTTGAACACAATTTATAACCTTGATCCAAGTTAAGTGAATGGCATTTGTTGTTTCCCAGTAAGCACATGGAATATTTCAGTATAGTGTTTCACTGCTGGGCCTGGTCTCGCTGTACGTGACCTGATACTGACTACAGGGAATGGTATCCTGGAACCCAGTGCCAGCCTTGTCTTTCATCCCGTCATCCAAAGCAGCATCTTTTTTCTCAAAGAGGTGTCAGACAAGAAAGAAAAACATGGCTGAACAGTGCTAAAATCTCATTTAGTGCTTAACTGCGAATGAATATTCTTGTTAGGAGAATATTAAGTAAGAACAAGCTTCCATAATCAATTGTGACAATGACTTGAGAGTTAGGTAGAAGGGGCAGCTGAGGAGGAGATTTAACTAATATTGTCTCTTCTTCATGAGCAGCTTCATATGATCGATTGCCTCTTTTGGTATTGTCCAACTAATACTGGCTGGTCGAAAGGACAAAGCTGGTAATTTGCGATGATCAGTAGTAGTAGCAGGCCATCAGGGTGCCCAGGACCACTTAGCTACAGCCTGCAGTAATCAAGCAGCCCTACATGCAAGGTCCTTCAATATAGAAGAATGGAGAACTTGCTATCTGGAAGTTTGCCATTTCCAGTTACAGCTAACTAACCAGTTTGATTTTGGTACATTGTCTTTTTGGTATATTGTTTTGGAGGTGTACAGTGTTATCAAAAACATAATTTCCTCTTCAGTTCCAATGCTTTGTAGTGCTCTATAAATTTAGCCCAGTTTTACTGGGCTGTTGACAGCCATTGAAAACACAAAGCTTCTCACAGCAAGAGATTTAAGAAGTGTTTCTCTATACAGTCAATATTAATGTGAGGCCCAGCAAGATCCAGTTTACACTGGGCATGCTTTCTGCTGTGAAAAACAGAGCTGTTAATGTTCAAGACTCCATGGACTTTGTTGAGATTGTAGTTGTCCATATTCTAGGATGCCCTTCTTTTCTTCCATCAACTTGACTAATTAAGTATGTCTAAGTATTTCCTGGACAGAGTTATGGAATTACAGTAGAATGCACATTAGGAAAACTGATGGGTAAGTGGAAATAGCTGGTGTTGAGGCCAGAGCTTGATGAACAATATCTGCTCTGTGTGTGATTGTGACTGAATCTGTTTTGCAAAACCTCTGTGAGAGCAAGGAAGAGATTTATAGAAAACTGCGGCCATAAAGAGACTACTTGCAGCAACATCTGCAGTTGACTGGAACATGGCATGGAGAACTTCAGGGTGCCTGGTTAGAATCTAGAGTGACCTTGTGAATAGTGCAAATACTTTTAAGTACAGATTTATATTTTGTTAGTACACAGATAGTAATTTTTTTAATAAAAGCTGTGGGGGGATTATATAGGTTTTGTGAAAGTTAAGGTATTTTGCATTTTTTGCAAGCAATGTGTGGGCACTTACTTTCTATGTGGGCACTGAGGGCTGCTGGAAAAGAAGTTTTCACTAAGTGAACATAGCCCTCTATAGAGCACTGAGGTAGCACATAAGTTCCTTGTCACATAATGGGAGAAGGAATGTTCCCCAACTGGTCCAGATCAGCAGTATATCTGCTCTGAAGCTGCACCCTGCAAAGGCTAAAAATGCTTAACCAGACTGTGCAAAATTAGCATCTAGCAAAGAATGAAAAATATTGAAATACATCCCCTTTCCACTTGAAATTCCTTTCAGATTGCACTCAAGTTTGACTAAGCTTGTAAGTGAATAACCTGAGACCCTGAACTTCAGGTAATTTGTTCCGTCCTGTCTGGATCTCCTGTTACCTTCTCTGACTCTATTGCTTGATGAAAAGTCTTTAGGTTGCTCTGAGCATATGTATGAAGTTTTGTTTTATTCATATGTTATGTATTCATAGAAGCATGTACTGAGGGAAGAAATACCAGGGGTAAATCACTGCCAGACGAAAGGAGTTTTGTTATTGCTATCATTATTCCTAGCTGGATAATTTACGACAAAGTGCAGAGCTGAGTGCACTGAGAAGATCACGTGTATGAGGGCAGTACGCCATGACAGTAAGCAGGCTGGCTTCCTGAGCTGACTATGACAAACAGTACTTGTACTGTTAAAAGAACCATCTGCATTCTTGTCAGTGGGCTCCACAAACACTAGACGTTGTTCCCAGATTAATTCGCGGGCTCAGGAGAAGTTGTCTCTATAAAATGTAGTAATACAGATGCACAAGTAACATAGAACGGAAACTAGTGACAATCCGTATGATTTCCTGAGCATGACTTGACCTTGTTCCAGCTTCTCACCTTGTCAGGATAAGGCTACACAGGTAGCACTGGTTGGAAGGCAGTTCAGCCAGAAGTGAGCGAGGGCTGAGGAGGATGGTCTGACTCCTATGCCTAGACAGGCCAGAGCAGGAGACCAAGACACACTGACAGTGCTGTTGACAGGGCAGCTTTCCTGGAGATGTAGCAGGCCCAGCTGCTGGTGCTACCCCTCCCTGAAAAGGTAGTTGCTGCTGAGACTTGACTCAGGGCAAGCAGCTTGTGCAAGGAACAGTGTGCTTTGTTTTGGAAAGGCTGTGTTAGTAAGGAAAGCGGTTATCTACCTAGACAGCTTTCTTAGCAGAAAGACTCTCTTTCTGAGAGCTTTCTTAACAGAAGGCTCACTAAATAAGATGGCTCCATTTTGCTAAAAAGGCCATGTCTTGTATAATTGATGCAGAGGAGCTCAGTGCTCGATAGCCTAAGGGTCCTCAACCTTTCACCACTGGAGAATTAGAGGAATGTTTCTCAGGCCTTTCAGGGAATGCTGCTAACAGGGAATTACCATAATGATCAAACATCTGGGATTCTAATTTGAAAGCCTTGATGTTTAATTAATATTCCAAACCCCTAATCACCAGATAATCTGTCTTTGTTCAACTCAACATAGTGATAAAGAGACCATTCCATCCTGTGCTTTTTTCAACACATAGCGGTGATGGCTGCTGCTATTTGCAATCGTGGCGGTTGTAGCAAATAGACAGTAAAGATGCTCAGATGAGTCTGAGAGGTTGTTTCAGTAGAGAAAATGTTTGCTAAATGGATTTTAAGGTCTGGAAGTTATTGACCTACCGAGAAAGCTGTAAGAAACACACAACTTGTTGGGAAAGATTTAAATATCATGTAAGATCCTTCGTGATGCACTTCTCCTTAGAACATAGAGAAATTGTAACACAATGATTTAATATTTTAAAAATACAATGTTTATTGCTTATGCCTACAATGTTTATTCCTTCATGCTTTTTTTTTTTCTATAAAAATGTTCTAAAGATTTACTAATCAAGTCGGTCAATGGTTGGCAAGCTCAGGTACTCTTAACAGAGTAAAAGAGTATGGACTAGTAATCATGCTTACCATCTGTTCACTAGACGTCATCGTAAGCAAAAAGAGGCACAGACAGACAGCTTAGGACACTCACCGCAGGTTGTATAATAACGTGAAGGAATGCAGCATACAGACCAAGGGTCCAGCTGCCAGTGCAAGGGGCCCATCACCGAAGCATGCCACCGTTGTTCATCTCCAGGATAAAACAACAGCAGTGTTACTTGTTCCCATTTTATGCTTATGTAACTCTTCTGAAGAACTAACTGTTACAGGACCTGACCAAAGGTTGCATTATTTGTATGGAATGTGATCAGTGAGAAACCTTGTCCTCCTCAACACCTTTTGGCAGTGCACTGTGCTGCTCGGCTCGAAGGTGTATGTCTGGGATGACTGACCGCATCGGGATGGGATGAAAAATATGTGAGGCTGAACGACAGTCTTGCACTGTTCTGTGCTTAATTTTGATAGTAAAAATATGAAAAAATGACAACTATTGCATCTTTGGAGTAGAGATCAGCTTTTTTCCCCCCCCCACCCCGTGCAGCAACTTTGAATAACAAATGTCTCTTCTGAAAGACCTCTGCATGGTACCTGCAGGCCCCCCTCAGGCACTTTCAGTCCTGCACACTTCCAGTCACAATAACCACAGGGTTCGGTTCCATTTTGTCTGAAAGATTTTCTCTGCAGACTTACTAATAAGAAGAGAGTAGCAGCTGTTGAAATGCGAAAATCTGAGAGTGATGATCTGATAGCATGTTAATGTGATTTAGCAGCCGCTAGGAAGGGCGGGCTGTGGGAGGACGTGTGTGACAGTCACAGAAACCGACTGACAGTTTGGCACATGAAATCTACTCTAATGGACTGTTTTAATCTGTTGGAGAAAAATAAATTCAGAGGGCTAAAGGAGTCCCATGTAGGACTAGTGACAGTGATTTTAATTGCAGTGCTAAAACGTTTAGGTCATAAGCAGTTTTTGAGCTAATCCAGAAAAGTGTTAAGAACAGTGGGAAAAGGAGAATTTTTCATCATGGTCTGAAGAAGTCCAACGAATGGGTTGCGCTAAGAGTAGCGAGAAACATTCTGTATCGGCAGTAGCTGGTAAATCACAGTCTAAGGAATGATAACTGAACCTGGTAATGGAACCGGTTTTATATGCCCCTGGAGTACACACCAGAGAGCTGGCCCACCTCTGCGCATGACAAACTGCATGACTTAAACCACCTTTTCCCTCTAGTAGGCTCCAAGCAGCATGTCCCTCCCTTGCCCTGTCCCAAAAGTCCCAACGTTCAAGCCCCTGTGCTTACAGCTAAACAGCAAAAGAGAAGTAAAAGGTGGAGGTAGCCACCCTAGGAAACCATAAACTCACAAATTATTTTTAACCAAATCTTTTAGTAGAAAGTTTTGATAGCTAATTAAGCCTTTGCTACTTTCTTTATATGTCGTAATGCTGTGACATCAAGTGCCACTGGATTACGTGGTTTGCAATGGTTTTATATACTCCTATATCTGTGATGAAATTTGTGTGAGGAGTTGAAAGTGGAAGGAATCAATGTCTAGATAACTCTGTGGGTTGCTGCAATGTATTCTTGGGTTTGAAAATGGCAGGTTGGTTGGGAAAAATCATGGTTGTTTGGGAACTCTTGGACATGTCTTTAAACTTACTTGGGAGCCCCAGAGGCACCGGGATCTGTTCTCTCGTTTTCTGCAAAGTTTTGATGCTTATTACTGATCTCTTCCTCTTCTCTTTAAAATGGCTGATGTGAGAACATGTCTTTTAGAAAGGTGCAGTTCCTTCCCATGTTGTCCCGGTTTTGGTCTTTTGTCATTGCTTCGTGGAATTTTGTTTTCCAGTAAAAAAGAAGGCAGACAAGCCTAGAAGTCAAAGTTTGTGGTAGTATACACAGAGAGACCATAACATCCAGCAGCGTTCTTCATTACAGATTCCTCAAATAATTTAATTCTTAGTGAAGATGAACAGCTTTCCTCTCTAATTCAGTAGTTTGTTAATTCTTAATACTTCAATGTCATTATGCCTTTCTGTAAGGGTCAGTTATTGTAGCTTATTTTCAACACAGCCAGTGAAAATAGCAATGTGATTCAGCGGACATTTGCTTTACTGGGGTTTAGCGCTGTGGCAGTCACTGCCATTAGCTGATTCGAGATGTTCTGCTTACACCTGGCTTTTTCCTCTCCACTCTTGTTAAGTCAGTATATGGTCAAGTGGTGCAGTTGCTGGAGACAAAAAGGTATCTTATAAGCCCTGTACTGTGCAGATTATAATAGTTGAATGCTCTGTTTCTTATTACAGAAAGGCCAGGAAAAGGAAGTCGATGGACATACACAGAAGAGAAAGTACCAAAATGTAGAAAAGCTTCCTCATCACTTAGCAGACCATGTCCTGAAAGTGTTGCTACATACACAGGCAGTAACGTAGCTGAGCTGGTGGAAATCAGTATTGTACTTGATAATGCAGACTCACCAGAGCTTCTGCAGCAGCAGCAACTGTGGAGAGCAGAGTCCTACAGCACGGTGCTAGAGACTGAGCCGTGTGACAGGTTTAGTGTTTCGTGGACAGTTTAGTCCTTCATTGGGCTGACAGGAATTCAGTGCTCGCATTCATTCCAGCCAATAAAAAAAAAAGAACTTAAAAGAACTCGCTTCAATTTTCAGTGACTTATTAAGCCAAAAAAAAGGTGACTTAATGAAAGAAGAGTAGTATCTGGAGAAAAGGGGAAAGGAAAGAAGTCACCTTCACTAGTTAATACATTTTCTGTAGATGCAGATGTAGATCCTGTACCAGAATTTTTCAACTATTCTGAAATTTGGCTATTGCCTTATTTCTCCTGCCAGTTTTCCAAACAAAACAATGCATTACAATTATTTTGCCAACAGCCCAGCCTAAACACAAGCGAAGAAAGACGCCACCTCTCCCATGTTTATATATCAAACGCCATCATTGCTTCTCACGAAGGACGGTGATTTAAGGCAGGAGTTCAGAAACGCCGTGGAAGTACAGAAGAGAGGGATAAGGTGGAGTCACCCCTAACAGACCAGTTAGGAGAAGCCATTTGTTTTACAGATGAACTCACACAAATTTTGCTGAATAACACTTGGGTTCTTGTAAAGAAAACAATACCAAACAGTTGAAAATATGTAAACAGGCCTGGCTCCAGGCACTTTTACCAAGTTAAAACAGAGAGAGCAAATCCAGTAGCAATAACAACACATACCCTGAGTTCACTGCACTGCACAACATGCTTCTGTCTGCCTTTATCTGAATGGATATGATAATCCTTAAGCTGTTCAGTGCCTAACTGACCCCCCCCC